TCAGAGAGTTCATACAGGAGAAAAGCCTTATAAATGTGGTGAGTGTGGGAAATCTTTTACCCAGAGCACTACCCTTCGTATTCATCAGAGAGTTCATACGGGAGAAAAGCCTTATAAATGCAGTGAATGTGGGAAATCTTTTTCCCGGAGCACTCACCTTCGTTACCATCAGGTAGTTCATACAGGAGAAAAGCCTTATAAATGCAGTGAATGTGGAAAATCTTTTACTCAGAGCACTAATCTTCGTTTTCATCAGAGAGTTCATACAGGAGAAAATCCATATCAATGCAGTGAATGTGGAAAATCTTTTACCACTAAAACCATCCTTGATCGACATCAGAGAGTTCATACGGGAGAAAAGCCTTATAAATGCACTGAATGTGGGAATTCTCTTAAAAGGAGCAGTGGTCTTCAGTATCATCAGAGAGTTCACACTGGAGAAAAGCCTTATCAATGCAGTGAATGTGGGAAATCTTTTACCTTTAAGTCTGGCCTTCATCGTCATCACACTGTTCATACTGGAGAAAAGCCTTATAATTGCAGTGAATGTGGGAAATCTTTTACCCAGAGCAATGCCCTTCGTTATCATCAGAGTGTTCATACAGGAGAAAAACCTTATAAATGCAGTGAGTGTGGGAAATCTTTTACCAGGAGCATTGCCCTTCGTTGTCATCGGAGAGTTCACACGGGAGAAAAGCCTTATCAATGCAATGAATGTGGGAAATCTTTTACCTCTAAGAAGAACCTTCATCAACATCAGAGAGTTCACACTGGAGAAAAGCCTTATACATGCACTGAATGTAGGAAATCTTTTACCACTAAGACCGACCTTCATCGTCATCAGAGAGTTCATACGGGAGAAAAGCCTTATAAATGTGGTGAATGTGGAAAATCTTTTACCCAGAGCACTGCCCTTGATCGACATCAGAGAGTTCATACGGGAGAAAAGCCTTATAAATGCACTGAATGTGGGAATTCTTTTAAAAGGAGCAGTGGTCTTCAGTATCATCAGAGAGTTCACACTGGAGAAAGCTATTAAGAGTGCAATTAATGTGAGGTATCTCTCAGCCAAATTTCTAAATTCCCTCTCTGCATAAGAGTACAAATGTGAGAAATTTCTTAGATGTGTAGGAAATGTAATTTCTTAGGACTTAACAATAGTACAAGAAAATTTGTGAGTCCTCATTTTTCTGAATTGAATCATACATTTAATCACCTACACTATGTAAAGTTTTCATAAGTGTTTTTGCTGTTGTGTTTCTGTGTTTTTATGTTGGAACACTATGTAATTATGTTGCACGTTCTAACATACAGGATGTACTGCCAGTTCTGTGTCACTGCATATTTCTGTTGCTGAAGGTAATTCACCTGAACCACCTATAAGGTCCCTACTACAGATGGCAGTCACCATCCTCCCGTGCCCAGGGATGCTAAGTCAGACTCTAATTTGTTGAAGGAAATGAGGAATACCTGAGTCCTTAGTAGTTTCTTCTTTCCCTGTCTTGTGTTGCCAAATAGGACTCATTACAGTTGGCTGCAGTAATCATAATGTTGCAGAGGGCCTGCCATTTTCAGGGACACACTCTCCGTAGATGCTAATGATGAGTTTATTGCGTGCCTAAGTCATCAATGGAAGAACTGCCAGTCTCATGTCTCTATGGATTGTAAAATAATGAAGGCTTTTTCTTAAGACTTCTTTAATTCTTTAATCTCTATTTATTCGATAGGTTAGTTTATAAGGAGATCTGGGCTTTCCAAGCATGAAGAGGTGAAAAACTTTTAAACTTTTAAAACATTTTTGCCCATGGGGCAACAGTATGGTTCAGAAATTAGTTCAGCAGTTTTTGGCAAATTTACACTACTGCACATATTTTCCTAGGAAACACCGTGGACACTCTACTTCTCATGTGAATATGGATGCTTTGACACATAGAGATGACTCCAAAGAGAGGGTAGCTGTGACAACCTCAAGTGTGTCTGGAAACATGAATTTTTTTCTTGTTTGCAAGCGATGCCAATACGTGTGAAGTGAATCTCTTACCCAGGTCTTGCAGAGGGACATAAGCCCTAATGCCTACAATATCACGGGTGATGGTCAATGGTTTGAGGACCATCGCATTCATGGGGAACCCTTTCACTACAGAAACACTGACCTAATTGTTGTTGGATGAGACTGCACCCCTTTAGATGGAATGGTCCTCACCTAACTGTGCATCCCGGCATTATTTTTAGGAAAAGACTACAAGAGCTGTGTGTACACAGATCTGAGGGACTCCAGGCTTGTTTATCTTCTGTGAAGCAGTCATTGTCATTGATTACAATCAAGATGTTTTGTTGCTCCTGTAGCTTCTCAGAAGTTCCCATCAGAGCCATTGGTGCGCTGGCATCAAAAGAAAGATGGAGAAATTAAAAATTGAAAAAAAAATTAAACAAAAATACAGTACAAAGAAAAAGAAAGATGGAGACAATGGCTGTCTTTAGTTCAGGAATGTGGCTTTTGTGGGTTTGGGTGAAAGTTCTTCATCATTTATTACATTTTCTGTCACTGAGATGAGACTCTCACCCAGCGGACATAAGTTCGGGGATTGACTATAGAGTTGCCAAACCTGTTCTTCCAGCATACCATTGAACCATTTTTAACAGGTATAATGAGTAAATCACATGTGTTGGGTATAGTGTTTCATAAATCTTGACATGTGCATGAAACTGAAACCATCAGTATAGTCATAACGCTGACCATATCTTTCTCTGTGTAATTGGATAATGACTTCTTTTAATTTGTCCGTTATTCACAGCTTTCCTATTTTCCATGGGTTTACATTCCATTTTTGTAGAGAACTTTATTTTTCTAAGTATTTTTCTGGTTTAGTTTATGTTTCATAAATACTTGGAGATTTATTAAAGTTACACTAGTAACTATACGAGGGTTTTTCATTTGCTATATCCTTTCTGTATCTAACTCAGGGTTAAAAGAAACCACAAAAAATTTCCAACAAAGCTGGTGAAGAATCAGCAAAACAATAAAAAATATCAGAACAAATAAGAGTTTATTAAGTGCTTGATATAAAATAAATAAATGAAAATCAATAGCTTTCCTTTATAGCAGCATTAACCAGTTAGAAAACTAAAGGAGGCCCTGCTGGGTAGCCCAGTTGATTAGAGTGCTGTCCCTAGACACCAAGATTACAGGTTTAATCCCTGGTCAGGGGGCAGATAATAATCAACCAATGAATGCATAATTAAGTGGAACAACAAAACGATGTGTTTCACTCTCTCTCTCTCCCTCCCACTTCTCTCTATAATCAATAAATACAAATTAAAATAAAAAAGAGAGAGAAATAGTCTATTCCCCCCAAAGAGGGATGGAAGTATAGAAAACCTATAAGAAGAGTATACTGAGGGACAGTTATCAGGAAAACATTTCTATAACATTATAAATCCTGCCCAAATTAATTAATATATAATGCAATTTCAATCACATTACAGTATTTGGGCTTTTTAAAAAAACTAGATAAAGTGGTAAATTAATCTATCTATATAAAAACCTAATATGCAAATAGACCGAACAGCAGAACAACCAAACAGAACAATGAAACAACCAGTTACTATGATGTGCACTGACCACCAGGGGGCATGCGCAAACATGGCGGGCATAGACAGCAGGCAGCAGAGAACAAAACATGGCGGGCGTCAGCCACGGTGGGATGGTGGAGCAGGTGAGCAGGGGCGCCAGACCAAGGTGGGGGGCCGGTCGCTGTCATCAGGGCAAGCATCTAGTGGTTACTGAAAATTCTTTGCTCCCACACACCGTGGTCCCGCCTGGTGCTTGCACCTGTTGCCGGTGCCGGAGCCACTGCTCGCACCCACTGCTGGTGCCCAGTGCTGTCAGCAGGTGTGAGCGGGGCTGGTGCCATCAGCTCATGGGAGCAGCAGCAGCGGGAGCAGGGTTGCAGGCAGAGAGGGGACTGGGGGCCGTGGTGGGAGAGGCCAGGTGGCAGCTCGGAGGATGGGCTGAGACCCACCCTTGTGCCCACTGTAGCCTCGTGGCCCACACTTCCTTTCATGGTGCATGAATTCATGCACTGGGCCCCTAGTATAAAAATAAATGTAGGAGATTGTCTGGAAAATTTTATATAAAAGGAAGTTGAGTATGGCAGGATGGGATACTATTGTATAGCTATTAAAACTATCTACAAAGTTACTGTGATCAGATTAGTGTGATACTACTAAAGGGAGAGACAAATTAGTAGCCTCCAGAAAAAAATTCAATTATCTATGTTAATTTGATAAATGACAAATTAAAATTTTCAATTTACTGGGGAAATTATGATTGTTGATACAGCTAGAAGGAAACAAAGTTTAATTGTCTAATATCTACCTCACAACTCTCATAACTAAATACAAAAATGTATATATATGCACATACACACAATATGTGTATATCTGTATGTACATATAAAGTGTTTATATATGCAATTAGTTTTTTTACATGCATCTTAGATATGAATCTATTTGCATCATTACATATGGATCTATGTCTTGCTAGTTTAATGTCCCTTGAAATGTAACCATTTATTTAACTAATTTTTTGATGGACATAGGGCTTGATTTCCATTTTTAAAGAACACATCCAAAATATGTCTTTATTGATTTTTAGAGAGAGGAAAGGAGAGGGATAGAGATAGAAACATTGATGAGACAGAAACATCCATCGGCTGCCTCCTGTACACTCCCTACCGGGGATGTCGCCCACAACCCGGGCATGCGTCCTGACCAGGAATCGAACCAGCGACCTCTTGGTTCATGGGTCAACACTCAACCACTGAGCAACACCAGCCAGGGATTAATTTTAAAGATACAGAACAGTGACTTTATTACATAGATTGGAAAAATGCAGCCTGTATCCTCTCATGTATCCCTACTTGTGTCTGAAGGGGTAAATTTGTGGAAAGTTAGAATGGATGGCCCTGGAGTGGGTTAGTCAAATGCTTCCCTATTCAAGGCAACCCTTAGCCCTGACCAGTTTGGCTCAGTGGATAGAGTGTTGGTCTGTAGACCAAAGGGTCCCAGGTTCAATTCCGGTATGGCTCCTTGGGCCCTGGCCCTGAGCAGAGGCATCCAATTGATGTGTTTCTCTCACATTGATATTTCTCTATTTTTTTTCCCCTCTCTCTTTCAGTCTCTATAAAAATCAATGGAAAAATATCCTCGGGTAGGGATTAACGAAAAAAATAAAATAAAATAAAATAAATAAAGATGGGGACAATGGCTGTCTTTAGTCCAGGAATGTGGCTTTTGTGGGTTTGGGTGAAAGTTCTTCATTGTTTATTACATTTTCTGTCACTAAGTTGAGACTCTCACCCAGAGGGCATGAGAATATGGATTGAATATAGAGTTGCCAGACCTGTTCTTCCAAAATAGGTGAACGTACATTTGTTTTATCTTGAACCATTTTTAACAGCTATGAGTAAATTACATGTGTTTCAGAAATCATGACATGTGCGTGAAACTGAAACCATCATCTTATCTAATAAAAGAGAAACATGCCAATTGGCCGTACCTTTGCTACACTCACAAGCCACGTCCACCACCCAATCAGAGCAATATATGCAAATTAACCCAACCAACATGGCGGCTGGTAGCCATGTAGTTGGAGCAAGCAGGAGGCTTGATTGCCCCTGCGTTGGAGGAAGCCAAGCTTCCCGCCTGCCCTGGCCGGCTGTCAGCTCTGCTCAAGGCAACAACGTTTCAATTATAGAAGATAAATAAACCTCAGATAGCTGCTTCCAGCCAGCCTCCACTGGGAGCTTGGGTGGCTCGGGGGGCTTGGCCAGCCTGCAAACAGCCATCAGCCCCTCACCCAGGCTGGGCAGGGACCCCCACCCTGATCAGGGACACCCTTCAGGGCAAACCAGCCGGCCCCCACATACACCAGGCCTCTAGCCTATATAATAAAAGGGTAATATGCAAATTGACCCTAACAGCAGAACGACTGGGAATGATGTCACTATGACACACACTGACCACCAGGGGGCAGAT